TCCTTCCCTTCTGCTTCCTTTGCTCTGTGACACCCACTGCTACTAGAAAACTGTTTCAACAACTTATTCACATATTTATTGGCTCTTTCCACACTGCTGGACCCATGCATCAAGGACAAACATCAGAAAACAAAGAAACAACAACAACAAAAAGCCCCAAGCAAAGTCAGAAAAAGAACTACAAGAACAATTTCCTACTATCTTTAGCAATTCGCTTTGCAAGTTTATTTCTATTTTTCAATAAGTAAGTGTTCTTAGCTGGGTGTGGTGGCACATGCCTTGGGAGGCAGAGGCAGGTAGATTTCTATGAGAACCTGTCTCAAAAAAGAAAGGTAAGTGTTCTTCCTCAGTACCTGTTCTAAAGGACAACAGAGAAGACAAAGGAAGTACTAGATTTCAAGTTTAGTCTGGCATACACACACACCCCAGGCAGTGGGCTGTTCCTTCCACAGAGGAGGCCAGCACACTCCCACACCCCGCTCCCCTGTCAGTCTAAATAGTCAGCAGGTGTGCACCCCCATGCAGGACCTTAGGAAGCTGCATGAGGAGGGGCCGGGAGATGGCCTGTCTCCTGGGTCCAAGTGGCCTTTCCCACTGTGGCAGCTCAGCAGTAGAGAAGCGATCTGCCCTGCTTCCTGGCACGAAGCCTGGGCTGCAGTTTGCTGTTTGGGGTACATTCAGCAAAAGAGGGAAGATAAACTCACAAGGGGAAGACAAACATGTCAAGGACTAAGTAAGAAACAGGAGAATGGTGCCAACTTTTGAGGAAATTCAGTTGCAAAGGAAATCTGAAAAGGCAAACTCCTGGGAGGTAGGAGGTAAGTTAAAAACGGTGCTGCTGTGGGTTTTCTTCTGTTTGGATCAAGGCCCTGTGGTGAAATAAATGTTTTCTATTTTTGGCACCTGCTTGCGGGTGACTCAATCTTCCAGAAACTGGACAAAAGGGCTAATATAAATCCATATCATACAGGGAATTCCTCTAACTAGCAATGTCAGTGTATTAGCAAAAAAGCTGATTTTCAAACAACACCTACAAGCAAGCTGCCTTTCATGTGGTTCTTATCGCCACCCCTTTCCTAAAATCAGTGTTAATAATACATGACCTAAATGAGCACACTGCAGCAATCCAGTTACTAAGTTAGTGCAATAAAACTGGGCTCTTTGGTATTTTCAATGATCTTTTCTAAGCAAATAATTCTTAGTATTTTCCAAAGTTATTTTACTTCCTTGAGAATTCTCCAGAACATTTTAACGTAAATTGATTGAATCTCCAAAGGATTAAGATAAATATTTAAGAAATTATAATATGAGGTCAAGAGAAATTTACAAAACCATGAAGCAAAGGCAAACATACTCCCTGTACAATGGGGCAACTCCAGGAGGCTTAAAACATTTCCCTGCAGAAAGAAAGATGCCCAAGCTGGACTCCTCTTAGCCTTATGTGCTAAAATGCTCTTGTGACTTCTGACACATCAGTCAGTCCTCTGCTGGTATTATGTAGGTGCTTGCTCCAGACAAAGGTCCTGAGCTAAGCATCATCTGGAAGAGGGATACATTCCCATACATCTGCATGCATACATGTATCTCCACCGCATACACCCCTGAAGCTACAAGAGAGCCAGATACCACTTCAACAGAGCCCCACAGGCAGTCAGGGAAACTTAGGAAAAGGTAAAGTAAGTGACCCTTTAAGTCACTCATTGTCTTAGGTACAGGTCTTTCCTGAATGGATGACTTATGAAAGTAGTTGAAAAATGTAAGTCTGATAATTACATATTTCTTTTCTATGACCAAAATTTTATTGTGTCAATATTTACGGAGATGGGGATGGACTTATTTGGAAATCAACTTAACATTGAAATAATGTTGCAAAGCACACTTTTTTTTTTTTTAAGAGAAAGGCAGAGGTTCAATGCAATGTTCATACAGTGAGCAGATTCTCTCAGCCATGAGGGTTTTGTGCACGCACAGGAGCACACCCATGCTTCTTCAATGTACCATTTTACAAATGCGGGGCATTATTAAGAGGGGCGGATTCTGCCAGGCACATAATTTGTATATTTAAAGGGGGTGTATGGAATGAAAAAGCGAAATATGTTAAATTTCAAAGGACTTGGAAGTAATGCTGCCTGGGAGCTTGTATTACAAATAGCCCCACATTATTACATAGGCTATTAATGAGGCCAAGTGAATGAAAGTACAATTTGAATATGCATGACTCTATCCAATGAGCAGGACTTTTGTGTACTGATGAGTTTTTTCCCCCTCCTAAAAAGGATTAAAATTATTCTTAGAGAAGTGTGGCTGCCCAGAAATGAGTAAAATAAATGTATTTAGACCAGTGTCACACTGTATTCATATGAAATATACAGGTGCTAAAAGATTGCCACTGACTCCATCTACAATTTCTGAAACATATGCATATTCTGTCTTCCTACAGGAATATTCTTCAGCTCAAGCAGCTGTGTCAGTACAATCTCTAAGCAAAAATAATGATTTTGGTGGAGATGCCTAAAAGTAGCCAAGGTTAAGTAAACCTTTTGAGTACAAAGCCTTCAGTTCCATAGTAAGGAGCACTAGTTAAAAGACTGGGAATGGGTAAATTATTGCGCCAAATGGCTGAGAATTAATCTCTGCTGACTAGCTGTAATCTAACGAGGCGTCTGTGTCCCAGGGAGCCCGCAGCATGTCCCTGGCGGTATGTGCAGTGTGTCGAGTCTGCGTGGCACTCTTTGTCCTCGCTCACAGGCGGCCTTTCCCCTCATTGTCCATAATATCCTCATGCATCTGGGACGCGTGGAATGCATTCATACTAACAGACTTACCATTGTTTTCTCTCAGAAGCTTTGTTGAGCAAAGACTGCATCACGGTTACTGATAATTATATTGCTTAATTAATCAAGACAAAAAAAATTTGCAAATCATTGCCTGGTTGCCAAGCAAGGAGATAAAAAATGACAACAATACAAGCTGAAGCAATATAACAAAAGTAACAGCTATCTGATCAGAAATTCTTATATAATGAAGCTATTAATGCTAAATCGGTTAATGTTAGCATTGCTCCAGGTGTCTCTACTTAGATGCAAACAAAAAGGCTAACATTATGGATATAAAAGGCCAAATGTTGCCATGGATTCTGTAACCTGATAGAGAGGACAGCCTTTTCATTTGATTAGGGAATGCAATTTAAATACCAGGGACCGAAGCCAAACAAACAGACTTTCCCTCCGAAAGCCTCTTGCATTCACCCTGGGGTCAGTGGTTGGTGAACAAAAGGTCAGCTACACTTGCCCTGGAAATGTCTGGATTAATTTTATTACATTGTAATGGTTTGTACTTTAAATGTAGGGATAACACTAAGTTTTCAGTTGCCCTATTATTCTCTTCTTCTCTTTAGGCTTTTTGGGTTAAAATATTAAGAAGCCAATTTTCTCAATTTATCTTGTCAGAATTGATGACCAAGTTTATCTTACACATATTTTTGTAGGAAAATTTAAAAAGTATATTAATGACTTTTTATGCATTTTATGCTACTTTGAGAAATGTCATTTTTGACACAGAAGAATGAAATGAAATGCTTTTCAAGTTCTTCATTCACTTTAAAAATAAAGGGGACATAATGACATTTTAGAGGACCATCCTGAAAATGAACTAATAAAACTAGTTATATATACACTACATGTAAAAGAAAAAATCTTGAAAGCTAAAAAGGTCTAAATCCATTGCTTCTCTAACATTAACATTACCACTTTAATTCTTATAACTAATTTTCTTCATGGACAAATGCAAATGTCAGCACCGAGCCATTTTCTTACAGCACCAAACTGAAAACCTGACATACACAGGGGTCTGAATCAGAGAAACACAAATATCTAATATGAATTCAGACAATCTCTATGAACAGACAGAGAACGCCCCCTTCTATGAGGCTTTCCTAGATCCATAAAGCCCACACATTATTTAACATATATGTTAAACTTAGAACTCTACTGATTTTATTTCTGTGATAGTAACTATATAAAAAAAATCCTGATAGCAACCATAACAACACCTTTCCCATGGTCCCAGGCACTGTCAGGAGCACTTTTTCACTTATTAGCACATATAATGCTTGCAATGTAACTTTAGGTTACAAATCTGAATTAAAACAATGAATCTCATGACTTTTTTTTTAAGTTTAAAAAAAGTCTTTAGAATAATGATAAGCTTCTTCAGGAAAATGATTTTGGGATATAAATAAATATATTTAATATCAAGCTGAAAATAAGTCATTTTTTCTTCGAGTGGCTTATATGCTTAATACGTTTAATTTCAAACCTAAGAACACTCTTCTTAATGAATTAAAAGTAAAAGAAGTCACGACACAAAGTAGTGTTAAAATACCAGTAAAGGCATGACAAGGATCGAAACTGCAGCCGATTAGTACACAGGACATAGACCATTGGATTGTTCCAGCCAGCCCTGTGATCGATACCAATTGACATGGCTGAATTGATTCTGTAGCAAGGTGCTTTGATTGCTAATACTCATCCTGTGGGCTGTGCTTCAGGGCCCCAGTGTCTTTCTGGACATGTCAAAAATCCTTCAGGATTGACCTCAATTATCACCAGTCAGGGCTCAGTGACCAATACCCATGCATCAGACAGGGCTGGATTCTAGACCCATGGTTATTCTCCAAATAACCATGTGATAATGGAATTCCATCAACTCTTATTATTAATAATGTGCCCCAGTTAAAATTATGATATTCTTAAAATTATAACATTTCAAAGCATTAAAATTATTTAAAACCCATACATTTCTCTAACATAATTTTCAAATAAAACAACATGGAATTTGTGCTCATGATTAGAGTTTTTTTGAAAAATCACAGTTCACTTAAATTTCTATCTAGCACACACAATTCTGATATTTGTAGGATATTCATCAGTTTTTTTTTTTTGAGGACAGTGAATCCAATGGAAAATGTAGGAGTCAGGGCAACAATGGAGGAAGCATACCTCAGGTTTCTTTGTTATCGTGATAAAGAACATATGATTCTTCATTGGGTAAATAATGATCGAAACGTCTCCAAAGGCTGTTGGGATAATACCCCTGCGGTAGTCCCTGGAGTGTTCAGACCAGACGATGTGGACCTCATCATTCCCCAGGTGACGGAGCTGCAATAGCAAATTGGCTCTTTATTAACTGAGGTGATAACAACAGTTTATGAGGGGCTGTGGCTTATAAATTGAATTAGAAAACTCGAAGGCCAAAAGTATTTTAGTCCCAAATCAGGCTACAACACTGATGCCTTACGTGAGGATTCGAAAGCATACAATTTCATCAAACTCCAGCCCATCTGCCAGGATGCACATTTGGTTCTAAGATCACAGGCAGAAGCACAGGGGCACATTCCAGTGGGACGGAGGCAACCTCTTTAAGGTCTCTTTTCACACAGAATTCTATTTCTACATCAGTCCTATGCTAGAGTGCTGAGAATGTTTCTAAACAACTAAGTGACATTCACTTTTTTAGTCTTATTACTTTAAAACTTTTTTTTTTTTTTTTTGGTTTTTCGAGACAGGGTTTCTCTGCGTAGTTTTGCGCCTTTCCTGGAGCTCACTTGGTAGCCCAGGCTGGCCTCGAACTCACAGCGATCCGCCTGGCTCTGCCTCCCAAGTGCTGGGACTAAAGGCGTGCGCCACCACCGCCCGGCTTTAAAACTTTAAGCCTCTTAACCCAGTGGGTTATTAAGAAATAACAATGTAAGATAACACAAGCTACTCCAACACAACTGTCGACAAATGTGTGAGAAACTGGTCTTGAGATAGATATATTTAATTTAAATTAAAACTTGAATTTGCTGGGAATACTAGTACCCAACATTTAACGATTTCCAAAGTGTTCACATAAATGCCATTTACCCTTCCCACTGGCTTTGTGTAACTCCATCTTTAGTTTATCTTACAAGTGCCTGCTCAGGAATGCTCTGTCTCCCGAGTGCAGAGAACAGCATGAAAGAGCGGGCCAGAGACTGTGCCCTCCATTCACAATTATTTAAGCCAGGGACATCCAACCTGTAGCCCACAGGCTATGAGAACACACACACACACACACACACACACACACACACACACACACACACACACTTACAGTTTTGTGTCAGACTGCACTCACAGCTATCTGGGGCTGCAAGCTATACAATCCTGATCTCAGCTTACACCAAAAGCTATTTTACTGTTATAGCTCAGGTAGTTTAGCTCACTTATTTTGACATTTTATAAGTAAAAAGACTATAAACTCCAAAACCCCACAGACTCTTGGTGTCTCTGAGAAGGTCTTAGGAAGGTCTCCAGGGACCCTTACAAGCTCTTCCAGAGCAAACCCTTGCTAGATGCAAGAACATCACTGATCAACTGCCTGTGTGGTGATCTCACCAACCTAATCTGGAGAAAGCTGCAAAGAAATCATTTAAAGCCTAGAAGCATAACTAAAAGGAAAACAGACCATAGTGATGGAAGCATCAGCCCAAACTGAAGTTCTGAAGCTGTAAAGACTGGCAGAGCCAGGGCCTTAGAAGCCTTTGGGGAATGAAGTTTCTGCCTCACACCAGGAAATGCCATCCAGCATCAGGAACAAGAGCTCACGTAACAGATGAACGTTACAAGTGACCAAACTTAAAAGCACCTTAATAAAACTGAGATGTTATGGCAGAGTTTATATTCTAGTTTTATCTTAAAAATTAGAAAACAAGCGAATTCTGGAATAGTGCATATGTGAAACACATTATCACAGATACTGTTTTCTTTAGAGACCATTTTATCATAAAGGGAAAAATCCAAGATAACCCAGAATGGCCTCTTTTCTAGTCATCCAGTGATAAGGCAGCTGCTTGTTGCAATGCCTGCTTACTTTTCACTCATATACTTCTAGAAGCGACTATATACATCAATTATTTACAAGGAGACCTGCCCTGTATCTTTGTGCCTACATGGAGTAAGGGATGGGATTCACCTGTGTCTGAGCAGTGGCTCCAGAAATGTGCAACTTCGTAGGCCCAGCATAAGTCACAACGATCCAGAACAACTAAATGGCGTCAACAACTTTGTAAATGCAAACACAACCGAGTGTATCTTTTTTCTTGTTCTCCTCACTCCATCATTACCTGAGCATAAGTATTACAGGCACACAGGGTAGCAGGCAGAAAAGGAAAAACTGTAGCACAGCCAACCCAGCTCTAACACAAAGGTTTTGTTGTTCTTTCTTTGCTTTTTAAGGCACCAAATTCTCATAGCTGAAGGTGTTCCTCCAGTCCACTTTTTCTTTTCTTTTGTTCTTTTTGCAGTACTGGGGAGGAACCTAGAGCCTTATGTATGCAGTGCTCTACACTTCAACTCTGAGTTACATTCCAGCCATTCTTATCTGAGATTTCTGCCTATCTGTGGTTCCCATTTCTTTCTTTCTCTCTCTCTTTCTTTCTTTTTTTTTTTTTGGTTTTTTTTTTGGTTTTTCGAGACAGGGTTTCTCTGCGTAGCTTTGCGCCTTTCCTGGAGCTCACTTGGTAGCCCAGGCTGGCCTCAAACTCACAGAGATCCGCCTGGCTCTGCCTCCCAAGTGCTGGGACTAAAGGCGTGTGCCACCACCGCCCGGCCTGTGGTTCCCATTTCTAACAGAGCTTCCAAAGACCTTGTGACACTGTTTTACCGCTTAGTCCTGTTGTAGTGACAGCATGAGAGGTAGGGTTGCCAGCAAGACAAGATGGACAGGTTTCCATGGTAAATGTGGACTAGATCTAACTGAAACTTTGGGAGGGATTTGGAGCAATAGGAGCCAACAGTAAGAAATGGGTTATGATGGAGTTCAGCTTCCAGCCGTTATCCTACAAGGAGAGCTGGCCCTGCACTCTGTTACGATGTTGGCAGAAGCAAATGGATGGAAACAACCACTTACCAAAGATCAACCTCGCTGCTCCCACCCAACGCCATACCTAATACCTACAGTCTCTCCTTTTCATTCACAAGGGCAGAGTACAGCACTCGCTCTGAATGATACAGGGATTACTGAAATTTTGCAGTTACTCTGCCACTTTCTAAATTGTGTTATTCAATTATATAACCCAAGTAAACCCCTCTTAATTTTATTTGCCGCAGTATTCTGAGAAAACTCTAGCATAGGAGAACAGTGCCACACTAATTGACCCTTCCTCCTAATGTGGCAATTCTGCAATTAAGGAAGAGCTATTTTTGTAATATTCACCATGTCAGAGCTGCTTTCAGTGTCATGCACCTCAGACTTCTGGACATGTTACAGTTTAATTAACTAAATCATAAAACCAAGAGCTAAAGCCGCAGGACCAATTGACAGACTCATCTGGAACAAAGTACAAACATCACACCCTCTCGTGCCTATGATAAGAACCCAAGTATGTAAAACGAATAAAATTGGTGTGGACAAACTACGCACATCAGAGTAAAACATAGCTATCCATATCAGAACACGATGGAACATTCTCGAAACCTAAAGTGTACTCAATTCAAAGGGGATTTCAATTTCAGTGTCACTTGGTGATTTTCACCGAACTCTGATTAGAGGCCCTTAAGTTAGAAACCCACCCACAAGTTTGCACAGGGACAAGTCAACTTGACAGGAGGTAGTGTCTTCAGGAAGAGACGGGAGCTAGAACGGGAGCTGTAGTCATGTGGCCTTCTGCTTCCACTATGCAATCGATTCCAGAAGGCCTCAAGGCTTACCATGCTAGAACAAACAGGCTCCTGAGCCTCAAGAAATCAATCCCATGTCCTGCCATCCTTGGTCCTGACAGAGTTCTAAAGCTCTCTGCCCGAGCTGCTCTGCCTGCTGCTGCCGCCGGGCTGCACGCCTGCACGCCACTGGTGACACCGGTCATGGTCCACACCTAATAGGCTGACCTCCTTTCCCGACTAATTGCATTACATCGCCAGCTGGCTCCAGAAGGAGTCGTCTGTTTGATTGAAGAATCTGGGCTCCTCAGTGGGCCCGGCTGCTACTTTTACTAAGTAACAGTCAGGCCTGACATCCCCATTGTTCAGCTGACAGTGTGCCCATCCTAAAATCTAAGTTTTATTTGTAAATTAACCAAGAAACTTCCTGCCAGAACAGAGCTGCTTAGAGACTGATAATGTGGGCCTTTCATCCCCTTTCACCAGCACTGTATCACTGCCAATTTGTTTTTCATGTGGCTGGCCAGCCTGAGGCTATAAAAGCCTTGTAAGACATAAGTGCAATTATAGTCCTGGAGTCAAATGAATTGGACAAATCCAATAGCACAGCTCTGTCCCCACTCTGCAAACCCCTACAGCAGTTAGATTAGCTGTGAAAAATCTAATCTAGCTAGAGCTAACAAATTTCTGCAGTGAAGGATCAAGAGTTCAGTATGGGGCTGCAATAGGATTGCAGAATTGAAAAAGTCCCCCCACGACAAGGGCAGAACAGAGCATGAATCACTTTAGAATCTTGCAGCTCATTTTTAAGCTGTTAGGGACAATTTAGTTAGGGGAAGTCAAGGAACCGGGGGCTGCCATTATGTGACTGATTTTTCTGCCTAACTATGAGACATCCTGGTAAAGAGAGTTTATTGTTAATGATGCTAAATCTTAGAGCTGCAAAAGGTTTCAGCTGTTTTTTGATTTTTACAGTGGGGAATCTCCCATCGAGACCAAGCCTCCGGATATTATTTATGGTAGCATTATGTCAAGAAAATGGTATAAGAACAAAAATTAAAAAGCCTCTATACTTAAGAAATATTTCAAAACAGTTTATATGCAAATTTATCTTTAACAAGTTATTATCAGTCACACACAAAAAAATCATAGAATTTGGTGACAATATGCAGATTATGAAGACTTTAAAAGGTATCCCAAATTTATAAAAAACTTTGAGTATAGCCCCGGTAAGTGACCCCAGATTCTAAGACATCAGTGAGCTACCAGATAGCAGGGTCCTCCTTTCTATGAACACTGCAGTCATCAGAACCCAAGATGGACAGGCAGCTCGTTCCCACCTGTGGGAACCAGCACATGGCTAGCAGGCCCACTAGCTGTGAGGTTCCCAGCCCAGGAGGCCAAAGCAGTATGCAGGGCTATGGGGGGGGGGGGAAGGCTGCTGAGTTTCTGAATGCAAATTGTGCTTTGTGCATCGGAGACACTTGATCACTATGGAAATTGTCTGTGACCCGAGTTCTGATGATGTCCCACATGCACTGTTGTTCATCGTCTATGCAGTCCAGATGTCTGCGGCTACAGTGGTGAAAAGGCAGAACCAGAGACAAAAGACCCGAAGCAGATACAGTAGGGCCCATGAGCTAGCAGCCATCATCTGGCTAGTGGGACAGGGAAAAAGAGTCAATGACACCAGTGGACAATGACAGGGACAGTGTTTTTCAGGCACTGTCTCACTTACTTGACTCACCAGTACTGTGCCATGGACCCCATTTTTAATCTTATTTAGTACACGAAAAACTGAGGTCCAAGCTGGTAAAACAGTTGGACACACACTTGAGCCTAGAGCTGTCTGGCCCTCGCTCCAGCCACATGACCACACTGCCAATGTGCAGCCTTAGCCAGCACTTGAGGTCCTGCCCTTGGTTCCTTGTCTGCGCTGCTGGAGGGGTGGATGTGAAGTGGGAAAGCAGACTCTGTCACCTACTAGCCCACAGAGGCAGCCAAGTCACCACTATTCTAGGATGCTCCTCTCATCTAGAAACTTACAGCAGTGGTTTTCTTACCCAACGACCTTTTTCTCCCATTAATGCGTTCCTCATCCAAAACCAGAGCCCCCTCAAGTAAACATGCTGCAGGCTAGGGAGTTCAAGGTCCTGTCTCCTTGGCGCAGTTCCTCTGGGAGCATAAGGTTTCCTTCGAACTTCAGAGGAAACCACCCATAGGGTGGAAGGTGAGGGACAGCAAAGGGGAAACAGCCCAGGTGGGACATCTGTGCAGCAACACATCTGCAGGTCACTTTGCCAAAGCTGGCAGCTCACCCTAGCAACCTTGGGGTGTGGGGAGGACGCTTTCCTAGAGCTTTACCAGTACTTTTTGTCAGAACAGCCATTATGCATTGTGGCCTTAGCAATCTGTGAGGTAAAAACATTTTCTCTCGGGTAACTAACATGGAAGAAGATCCCAAAGTAGCCACACTGCAGGCCCTTCTTCTTCCCAGTCTTTAAGCTCGGGACTTAAGATGGTGCTTTGTTGGTATTTTAGATTCAACACAACTGTAGCTGGGGGAAGAGCGACACTGACTTTGAGGCCTGGGGAAAGCAGCCCCAGTTTGTGCCAGGGCTTGGTCCCGTCCAGACCCAGAGAGCCTCACTTGCACATGAAGGCAGCCAGGTGCTGTCCCCAAGGAGCCACCTTACCTTTTTGGTGAGTGAATCATCTGAATCCGATGGCATCCGAGTGGAAACGTGGAAAATGACTTCCACAGTCGAGGTAGCATAGTAAGGGGCTGTCTGTCCTGTGCTGCCATTGCGCTGAAGACCACCCATGAACCCACAGTGGGTTGAGAGATCCACCTGATGAAGGTCACAGGAAAAGGTGAGGGTCAAAGGAAGCTGTGCTGTTCATTGGGCAGAAATATGAGTTGAAAACACAAACTGTTTTCATTTTAATATATTTCTTTCTGATTACAAATAAACGTAAGTTATACAAAATTAAAATTTTGAAAACAGAAATGAAGAACATCAGAAATGAAACTGGTTTGAAATCCTACTACAGGAAAATCACTATCAAAATTTAAGGACTGTCTGCCCCAGCAGTACAGTGCTTGTGTGGCACGTGCAAGGACCTACCTGGCTTTGATCCCCAGCATGTGCCTTTCAAAAGGTTGCTTGAGTTCACACCACTGCCATCAGTCTACAGATGTTTCCTTCTCAGTGATTAGATCTAAGTTTTTAAATTGCCATAAACTATTATTTTTTTCAATAAATGTCCATTTTAACAAACATGGAATAGAAAACTCTGTTCCAAATATGCCCAACATTCAATCTGAATTAATATTCTAGGCACACTTCTGTTTTCTTTTTCTGTGATTCTAGGGATGGAACTTGGAGCCTTGAGTATGCTAGGCAAGTGCTCTACTACTGAGGTACACTACCAACTCTCTTCTAGTTGTTTCTTTGACCTTGGCTGGTTCAAAAAACGATACATAAGTTAAGTAACAAATGTACTCTAATTTTATTAACAATAGTGTTTCACTGCAAGTGCAATAGCTCTCGGACTTTCTGGAAGGAGCACGGACTTGATCTCGATGTACTCTGTCCTGATGCCATCTGCAAGGAGGCCCTTGCCAAGACTGGACTCTTGAAGAAAAGTTGCTCTTATGCAGCCAAAGCTTTCCTAACCCAGATGAACTCAGCCAACTGAGAAACCAAAAGTAAGAGGAAGAAAAAACCCAGTGTTTTATTGACCTTGATTTCTATTTGGACTAATCTCGCTTCTTTTCAGAGTCTAGGGATATACTTTCCTCTAGATTTCCATACATATGAGGCAGGTGTGTGTCTGTGTGTATACCCATTAGTTTATCTTTCAGCAAAGAAACCCAATCCTTGTCACTCATCCTGGAGTTGTGCATGAGGGAACTGCAGTGACAATCGACTACACCCTAGTTCCAGTTTCTCACTTTATCTAGTCCTCATTCCCTTTTCATCTATCAAGTCACTCCTTTTTTTTCTCAAGTTCCCAGTGGCCACATGTGTCTTCTTTTGCCACAAACTGCCACCCGTGGCTGGCTGAGCCCATCCAGTTCTGATGCAAAGCAAATGAAAAGATATTAAGGAGAAGCAAAAGTCCCCAGATAGAATATTGAAAAGGAGCAAACAGATTTTAAGGTCAATACATTCTTCAAGAACTCCATGCATGCTACATCTGAATGTAAAAATATACCTAAGAACATACACAACTCATGTCTGCTCTAAATACTGACAGTTGGTAACCACACAATGAATGAGGTTATTTACCTCCCATCCAAGACCAGCAACAAAGTCTTCATATGCTTGGCTTCCTCTTTCATTGGCTAAGATGGAACACTTATCTTCTTGCCCTTCAGCAATGTAAAACACTGCTATCTTGTGTGTCTCACGGCTGTAAAGGTTGAAATTTAGAGGAGTTAGAATTGATATATAAAGTTTTATTTTACTGTTACTGCCAGCATGACTCCTAATGGCACTCACTAGGGGTCAGTCACTATTCTAAGGTGGTTAATGCAAGACCCTATTTGCATTCTGGAAGCCCCCTAGGAAGGCCGGTGTTATTACTGTGTCATCTGCTTGGCAGAGGTGGTTGAAAGGAGACAAAGGTTAATGAGGCAGGAGACTACACCTCAGACATTGGAGACACTAAAACAGCAGATAACAGAGCACATCATCCATCAGGTTCTTGCCATGCTTGGTGAAGAACATTATCTTCTAAAGCAATGGTTCTCAACCTGTGAGTTGTAACCCTTTGGGGTCAAGTGTCCCTTTCACAGGTGTCCCATATCAAATATCCTGCATATCACATATTTACATTCCCATTCATAACCGTAGCAAAATTACAGTTATGAAGTAGCAACAAAATAATTTTATGGTTGGGGTGACCACAACATGAAAAACTGTATTAAAGGGTCACAGCATTAGCAAGGTTGAGAACCACTGCTCCAAAGCATTTCAAGTAGACATGCATTCTAACTAGGTATCTACATTTCATTTTCTCTACTTTGAGGAAAGGATATAGGTAGTTTCAAGACTGGGGCGATGAGGCATGCTAAGACCTTATGAGAAATGGAAACAGTTAGGTATTTTCTTTGTGAAAGGACATGTTCTGACTATTCTGAGGGCACCAAATATAGTGGACAGTTGTTCTAGGAAGACTCTTTAGGATATATAAACTCTCTATTTGCTTGCTCTGTGATAGATTTGTCGCAGTCTCCTGTTAAATCATATAAACATAATATTCACTTTGAAGAAAGGAGACCTGTCCATCTTTTCTTTTCCATATCCAGTATAGTATTTGGTGCATAGTATGAGCTCAGCTAGGCCTGTTAAACTAACGAGATACATGACAGTATATGTGAATGTGTAATCAACACTTTTACAAATGATACAGGAGTAAAGTAACAGAATAACTGGAAACCCTATCAAGCAATTTGGTGACAGTTTGGAGATAAAAGCTCAACTGTTGTTCAGATGCAGCTTAATCAAGAACCCCTTATTCAACAGCACAATTGTCCATGAGCTTTATTCTATCATAGTCTCAATGGTAAAAGAATTAGATCCCCACTTCCGGGGCAGCCCCACCCTTCTCATATTCACATTACATCATGAAAAATGGCCTAGGAAAAAGCATCAAGTGCTTCAACAACACGGAAATGTTTCTATTGTCTAATTGTTTAATATCTCAACACTGTAATATGATTAGACATTCAAATTGGTAGATCTGGACTCCATATTTTAACAAATTCTCAAATATTTCCTTCTTCATGGTTCTTTTTCTACTTATTAAATAAGGCTAACTGAAGCTCAACTAAAAAGGTCCATAAATCACAGAGGAGCATTTTCTCCTATTCATTAGCTAGCTATTCATCCCCCATCATTCTCGTAAAATAAGTATATGTGAAGAAGAATCACAAAGTACAGAAAGAGAAGAAAGAGAACTCTCAATGTGAACCTGTAAACAAACAGCACAGCTGCCACTACTTTAGGAAATGCAAAGAGGTGCTGTAAAGAGGGTGGACTTTTTTTTTCTGGTAGTGATGGACCTCAGGGAGTTGAGGAATTGCCATATCATTAACTGCCCTGAGAAACAGGCAAGGAACAACAAGAAAGGTCCCCTACAATATGATTGGCTTATCACAGGAGCTGTAATAATTTGGCAGCTTAGATGATAGCAGACATCCTAACCTTTACCTAAAAGGTTGCTTCAGCAAAAGAACAAAAGCATAATTACTTGATTTCTTTCTGAAATTCTCTCTACATAGTTAAAAGTCCTTAGTATTCAATTTTTCTCTGTTCTATAGACTTGACATACAAAAAAAACAACCACAGGTTTATCTGAAATACACCAGTGTTTTATCCTTCAAGCCCAGGATTTTTCCATCCTGGGTCCTTGAGTCCTCATTTACTCAGTGTAGGAACACAGAGGGCTAAGCTCAAATGAAGGACTGACTGATGTGGGTGTGAGGAAAGGTGACCTTTACTTGTAAACATTCATCAAATTTCACATCCTCCAAAATATTAGCACTGCAGAGAGCCTGCTAAGATGCAGACACTGTGCCTGGCCTTATTAGCGCCAGGCTTTTGAAATGGTAATTACAACATCAACAGCACTTCATATCTACAAGCTGCACAACCAGTGCATGAACGAGCAGGTAATTCAGGAACACACATAAAATCAACAACACAGCTTCCCTCATTTGAATGCATCTTTTTTTCTTTCTTACTTACTAGGAACAGACCAGAATAGTTCCATTTTCTTGTGCTGTCAGGTTTTAAGAACCAAACAAAGAAAAACATGACTTTACCATTTCCTTCACCACACAGTGGCAAGAAAGCTCACAGTGATTTGTATGTCCAGTCATCACACACAGTATAAAGACCCTAGCTGCAAGACTATTTTTTCTCAGAACATGTGAAGAAGGCACTGTTCTCCAACAACAGTGATATAAATTGATACCGCAAATAAATGGAAATGTCCTGAAAGTTGGGGGACAAGGTGTGTTCTGCTTGGTATCAGATCAATCTATATAGCATAAGCTATATTTCTCACAGGTAAAGAGCCATCAGACTTAGTTCAGGTTTTCAAAAGGCAATCTTGAAAAATACCCTTTCCCATGAAATAAATTGATGTGCATTTACAGGCCAAGACGACCTAAGTCCAAGAGTTGGGGCTTTAAGTGAAGGTTAATCAAAGGGCAGAAGATTGCCAATCAGCTACCCAAAGCCATATTTTACTGCAACAGCACCCCAGGGAGCTAATTCAATTGCACCTCATGCAACTAAAGTGCATTAACATTCAACAAATTGGCTACAATTACAAGATACCAGTGCATTCACTTAACACTGGAGAAGCAGGAATAATTCAGCGTGTGCTGGAAAAGCTGGGTTTGGGGTCTAAATGATTGTTTGTTTAGCACTGAAGGGCAGGAGTGAGTGAAACGAGTGCCCAAGCCCTGCAGAAATCCCTCATGGAACTTCCAGAGGGCCCAGTCTCTGTCCTGGAGAGAGCAAGGAGAGAAAGACTCAACAGAAATGGCAGGGTCGAAAGCACTTTTTAAACATTTTTGAAATTCAAATTAAGCTTTACTTGAATCAAGAAATGAAGCCATTTAAAATACCAATGGAGTTGCAGGATCTGCCCCAAGGATGGGTTCTTTCTTCAATTACAACCATAAATGAATCATCTAAACTTGTATATTTTCTTTTCTTTTAATTTTATTTCTCAAAACTAAGATGCTTACCACTCTGCAAAGCAGTAGAGTTGCCAGGAGGAAAGGTCCTCACATTACCTTCTGCAGGTGGAATGAGGCTCACTAGAGCCACCCTGGCACATTCCCAACATTCAGAAAACATACAAAACAAGTACATGCTTCAACATGTGTGTGGCTCTAAGAAACCATGAATGATGATAAAGATACATGGGAAGGTAGAAAAGAAAAAAGAAAAAAAAAACTATAGCCTTTTGATTCCTATATAATGGTCCATATGAATTAATGTATCTTAATTCTAAATGCTTCTGAAGGAGTGAAAGGACATATAGCTATAAGTAAGTTTAATATGATTTTATCTGCTGAGTCCTTGGTGAGACCAGGAGGCAGAGAGAAGCAAGGTAATAAAGGTAGTGAATTTCCAAGATGGCCAGCTTTCTTCCTCAGCCTCCTGACTTGAGACAAGAGCCCGGCAGCTGCCTCCCATCAGACCCACTACTGTTGGGCTGGCTCAACAAGTTCAGGGCTGGACCACGACATGCCACACAACAGTTGTGGACCAATCAAGCATCCTATCTATCTTCAAAGTGACCAGCCCTAAAGTAGGGAAGAATGCTCTTAGAGGATTTAAAACCCCAAGACCTCAAGCAGATGCTGGATTTTCAGCTTCCTGACCCCTGCTCTGCTCTGCAGAGGGTCTTTTTCTCTGTGTGTCTGCCATGTGCCTGTTTCCTCACCCCCAGTGCACACCTTTCTTCAACTGCTCATTCTGTCTGCGGTGATTGAGATTTCTCTGTGGCTGCCTGTTGTGCTTCAGATTTTTTCTGCTTTTTAGTTCTTTAACTGGCAAAGGAAATTAATCAAACCAAGACCCCAAGACTGCATCATTTGTGTTGTGACAAAGATATTTTTTCATTAAGTCCTCTTAAAGGTGTGTGTGTGTGTGTGTGTGTGTGTGTGTGTGTGTGTGTGTGTGTTTTCGCGCGCGCGTGCGTGTGCACACATATGCTTTTTCAATTCCAGGTGGAGTTCACTAGTTGTTATTGTCATACCTAGGTTCAAGAATTCAAACCAAAAAAAAAAAAAGTTCAAACCACCAACCAACAAAATATCACAGTTATAAACCTGATATGCAAATAATAGGAACATGAACCAAGCATTTACTTAAGAATAAACAATAAAAACCACAAGAATCTACCTGAACACAAATGATAGTGAAAATGCTTGCTTAGAAAACAACATGGCACCAACAAAAAACATGCAGTCCAGTGGATGAGAACCCAAAATAAACCCATTTAGTTGCAACCATTTAATTTTGACCATGGTGCCAAACACACACAAGGGAGAATCAGCCTACTTAACAGGTAGAAGAATGAAATTAGATCCCCATCTTTCACCCTATATAAAAATCAATTCATGATGGACTAAATATTAGATTGAAGTTGCCAGAGAAAATAGTTCAAGATAAAAGAACAGACAGGGATTTGCTAATAACAGAGGAAATAATTCCAGAACTATCAAATGGGATCATACAAAATCAAAAGGCTTTTGCACAACAAGGGGGGGAAATCACCATCCTGAAGAGAGAGCTATAGAATGAGAAAAAACAAACTTTTACATCTAAGTCAGACAGGGCCTAATATATAGGATATATAAAGAATACTAAATTAAACATCAAATCCCAGATCAACAAATAGTTTAATGAACAGGATAGTTCTTAAAAGAAGAAATATAAGTGGCCTCTAAATAATTTAAAAGTGTCCAACATCTTTAACAACCACAGAAATGTCGATTAAAACTGCTTTAAGACTCTATCTCATCTTGGTCAGAATGGTTATCATCAAGAAAATACAGGGTAGGATGCCTGGGTTAAGGGTGCTTTATTCACTGCTGATGGGAATATACAGCGCAACCACTGCAGAAATCACTCCAAAGTGGTCACCCTTAAACACAATAAAACGTATAAACAACACTAAATAGACTCAGTAGGCTGCATGCATGCACGTATGTATACACACACATATACATGAAAGAAAAATGTAGTGAATAAAATATAGTGAGAATTTGATCTAAGCGCACGCACGCGCGCACACACACACACACACACACACATACACACACACACACACACACACACACACACACGCAACAATTAATGAAAAAGAGGCCATGAAGTTAAAAGGTTTTGTTTTGTTTTTGTTTTTAAATTAAAGGATTACTTGTTCAAGGCCTACTTGGGCTACAGAGTATGTTTGTTGTAGGCCAGCCTGGCCACTTAACAGAGTTGCTGTCTCAAAAAACAAAACAAAACAAACAAACAAACAAAAAAACCAAAACACCAAATGCTCAGTCAAGGTCAATATCAGCAGATTTGGGGCTACAGAAATACTCTGGTGTCTCTGTAGGTACCTTCTTTCCTGAAACTGTATTTGATATCATGAGCTCACAAAGATAGACAGGGAAAGATATTTTAGTATACTTTCACATACCACTGCCGTGAGTCCAGATTCTTTAGCTCTCTCAATAATTTTGAATTTTTCTTCAACAAATGAAAATTCTTCCTACAAAGGAAAAAAAAAAAAAAAAAGGATGGGAGAAGAAATCCATGTAACCACAGACCAACTTTGCTACTTTCTAACCCATTACCAAACATAGCCATTATGGTAGTTTGAATAGGTTCACAGGAAATAGAGCTATGAAAAGGTTATGTCCTTGTTGGGGTAGGTGTGGCCTTGTTAGCACAAATGTGTCATTGGGGGTGGATTTAGGGGTCTCAGAAGCTCAAGCCAGGCCCAGTGTCTCTCCCTTCCTGCTGCCTGAGGATCCAGATGTTGGACTCTAAGCCACCTCTCCAGCACCATGTCTACCTGTGTGTCACCATGCTTCCCATCATCATGACAATGGACTAAAATCTCTGAACCTGCAAGCCAGCCCCAATTAAAAGCTTTCCCTTATAAGAGTTGCCATGGCCATGGTCTCTCTTTACAGAATAGTGACCCTAACTAAGACAGCCATCATCCATCCATCTACTATCTCATTCACTGAAAAACTGTGATAGATATCGTAGTTGTTTGAATGAGATGTCCCTCATATTCTTGGGCATTTGAATACTTGTTCCCCACTTTGGTGATCGTGTTTAGTTAAGTTTAGGAGATGTGGCCTTGCTGGAGGGAGTACGTCACTGGGGGCAGGCTTTGAGATTTCAAAAGCCATGTGACATTTCCAGTGCACTCTCTGCTTCCTGTTATCAAACAGATGTGAGTTCTCAGCTGTTGTCCAGCTGTCATGTCTGCCACCTGCTGTTCCTGCCATTATGGCCCCTAAGCATCTGGAACCATATGTCCAAAATAAACTCTTTCTTCTATAAATTGCCTTACTCATAGGGTTTTATCATAGCAAAAAAAAACAACTAATTCAGAAGTCTTCAAAATGAGCTCCAATACCCTTTAGTATGCAGAATGCCGTGTGTGTGTGTGTGTGTGTGTGTGTGTGTGTGTGTGTGTGTGTGTGTG